AAAAAAAAATCAAAATACTCTTTTATTCATAGACTGGAATAAAAAGAACTTCGAAGCTATCAGAATTTTTTAAAGGCCAAATTTCGCAGCTAAATAGTACAAGCAAATTTTATAAAATTATTTCATAGGGCTGGAAATGCTTTTTAAACATTATATTAAGTTGGAAAACATTTTGAGTTGAAATAAAACCATACTCCTTCTACATACGTCAGAGTTATTTAGAAAGAAAAATATTTAAATACTAGCAAAGCCGCATACTAGAGAGTCAGATTTGAAATGAAATGTTAAATTCCAAATTTTCGAAAAAAGTTATTAACTAAAATAAATGCTCTCAAACCTAAATTTAGTCACTTCAAACTCCGTTTCTTCAATTTCTTTGCTATAGAGTGGCGCAGAAAACACAAATTATATACATAAATATTTATGAATTTTGAACGCACGAAAAAAATTTCTTTAAAAACAGCGCAGCATATCAAAAAAGGCAGCCTACAAGTTATATAACAAAAAAAAAAAACAAAAAAAAAACTTTATTCAAAATCCTTTTACTATTTACTAAGCTATACTAATCCACTAATAATTAGTTGGAAATTTCAAAAATTTTGAACTTGCATATTCAATTGAACTATACATATTATATAACTGGACATATCCGGCAAATGATAAATGGACTATGAGATTATTAAAAAGTAAAAAAAGAGTTTCATAACTAAAATAAATGAAAAAATTGTATAAAACACTTTTTTCAATTAATTTTTTTTAATAAGAATTTAGTTAAGAAAAAAATTTTTGTTATTAAAATTTATATTAGATACGATTTTTTGTTTAATTTTTGTTTTAATGTTTTAGTTTATGAAATTAAAAGCAAAAAAAAAACAAAATATTACACGTCCTTTAAAATTTTAATTTAAAAAAAAGTTTTAACGAAACAAAAAGTTTTTTAATTAAAAATGAACTAGTTATCAAATTTAATGAAAAATTAACTAGTTATTTAACTATTGAAATGGAAAGTTAAAGTTAAGTTTGGATATTATTTTATTACAGAAATTTTTAGGTTTTTTGAATAAACAATTTTTTATTTATTTTTTGTTTCTTAATTAAAAATTAATTAACTGTAATATTGCGAAATAAAATATTTTTAAAACTAAATAAAATATTGTTTCACTTAGGCATTTTTTATTACAGAATTTTAAAGTTTCAAAATGAAGATTGTTATTGCCGTTATTAATCCCAACGATTGCCCTCCTACCGCCCGTTTTTTTTTTCATTTTTGCACTTTTTGAAAAGGCAAATATATACATACGTTGAAAAACAATTATGTATATTAAAAGTGTAGCACTTTTTAATTACTAAAATTTAGAGTTTCTAAATTGTTTTTAATAAATTAAAATTTTTAGCTGTGTTTAAAAAAATTTTGAAAATTTAATTACATACTTTCTAAGGCAGAAATTGTACAATAAAAATAAGTTTTTTTTACTAAAAATTCTGGACAAAAATGTATATTGTAGTGTTTCTGTAATTTTTTGACATAAATTGAAAACTTTTTTGTATTTTTAGAAACTTTTTTAAATTCAGGTATGTATAAATTTTTGTTAAATTTTTTCGACTCAAATTTTTTTTTCAATCAAAATTTTTAAATCACTGCATAAATTAATTATTTTAAAACATAAAAATGTATTTAATTTTTTAATAGAATAAAATTTTGAAATTTAGTATTTCTGCATTTTTTCATAGACCTTTTTGTATGTTTTAGAAAAGAAATTTTAAATTTAGTTTAAAGTTTTGAGTTAAAAAATCAATATCAATATCAATATCAATATTTAAAAAAAAAAACGGTTTTTTAGTTATATTTATAAATTCTTAATTCTGACTGTGCGAAACCTTGTAAGAGTACATATCTTTTTCTAAACTACATAATAAGGGAGATTAAAAATCAATAATAAAAAATAATTCCTCCTAAATAATGACAAAAAAGTATAATAATATCTTTACCATATCCACATATTTAATTAACTTTACTTGTATAACATATTGCATTTTCTACAAATTATTCTTAATTAAAACCAACAAGGTCACTAAACATTTATACAAATACTTAGCTTTTTGAAAAACTATTTATTCGATTTAAAAACTTAATATTTTTTTTGCAAATTTTAAAAATTTACTTTTGAAGATCGTGTGCGATATGGAAAAAAATCAGCAAAAAAATTGGCAAAAATCAATGCTATTTTGTAGCCTCTTCAAACTTGCACTTCGTTCAAATTAAGTGGGCTATAAAACTGCATACCCAAAAAAATCAGCAAAGTTTTATGAAAACTTCACACTTTTATTGAGATTTTTTTTTTGGGTATGC